TTATGAACATTCATAGATGCGAACAAATTGCGGAAGTAGCTCACGTGTCTGCTCTTGTCAGTTCACTCCATGCAATCCCCTATATGTCAGTTGTACTGTACCACCATTTTAAGGTAACTGTAAAAGTAAAAATAGTTTACTTACAGTGTTTTTGTGTGTGTGTTTAGTTTTTTTATGCTTTACATTGTATATTTGTGTCAAAGGTGGTATATAAGACTCACTTTGTTGGACTTAACGAACGAATCCAACTTAGGAACATTCTCCCAGAATGGAACTCATTCGAAAGTCGGGGACTTACTGTATAGGAACATTTTTTGGGGGGGACACAGGATAAAAGTTAAATTTAATAAGTAGCTCTGGGTAAAAGGTTAGGTTAAGTTTTTTTTTTATCAGCTTATAAATTGGCATTTGCATCTAGGTTTAAGTAATTTTCAGCAATTTTCTGTTTATCTTGGCCCGAATTAAGAGTTGTTTATTCTATTTCTGGGAGCTAAGACTTTCTGTTTATTTCCTAGTAACAAATTAGATTCAGTGATGCCTAACCCAAACTTTGTAAAGGAGGAAGATCTTTCACACAAAACAGTTTTTAGTCTAGTACTAGTTTCATTTTCTAGTTTCATGTGTAGTTTCATTTTCCTTGACAGTTCTTATTTATTAAAAAAACTTACCATTCAGGCATACAAAAACGTTGTAAAGAATAATGTAATGAATGTGGACATACTACCAACTAGCTGAAGAAAAACATTACTAATACATTTGCAGCCCCCTTTCTGCCCCTTCTCAGTTGCTTCTCCCTTCTTTCTCTCCCCACTTCACCCTACCAAGTAACCATTATGCTGAATCGAGCATATATAATTACCGTTTATTTCCTATTACTTTTACTCCACATGCATGCATCACAACATAGTGCTATATAGAATCGCAAACTCTAGTATCTTATATTTTAATCAGGCAAACAATCTTTTCAAGTTTTGATAAGTTCTTGTTTCACTTAGAAAAACATCATGATTTTATATGCATATAAAAATTTAGAAGTTGGACGATTTAGTGTTCACAAAATTGAGCTTACATTTTAGATTCTTGTCTTATAGTGGAGTAATCTCTGTTAAGCTAATTTATGCACATCTCTTGCACGTTCCTTAACTGATACATTCTCTATACTAAACTGGAGAATTATAGTGCCATTAAGAGTATATAATATAATCAATCAAATGGCTGCTTTTAGTAGTCACTTCTTACTTGAATTTGAGCCAATGACGTGAAAACTATTACAGTCTCATTTCATTTGCTTGGTGTATACATTTATAAGACTTACATAAAAGCTGTAAAAAAGAACAGCATTCTGAAAATACAATATTGCTTAGAAATGGATTTTGTTTTCCTTTTTTGTAGTCACTATAAATTTTGTCAGTCACAGTAATGTGTGAAATATGTAGGAAGCACCAGAGTGTCTAGAGTCAAATAATGTTTCTTGAGCCATTCTTTTATTCATCAAATATTTATTGAATAGATGTTATGTTAGATGTTGGAGATACAGAAATAGTTAGACATTGTTCCTGTGTTCAAAGAGTTGATAATCTGGATGAGATAAATATATCTACAAATAGCTATGTTAGGTGGTAAGTGCTCTATTACATGAATATAGAGCTTTATAGCAGTAAGGAGTAATTAATTCTGCCAGGAGGTTGGGGTAAGAGGAAATAACTAACTGAGCTCTAAGAAGGATTAGGTTTTACTAGGAGGAAAAGGACTCTCTATATACAGGAAGGTATTATGGTATAGTTAAAAACACATTTTTGGAGTTAACTAATTTGGTTTGGAATTGGCTCCATTGTTTACCCTGATGCTGGGAATATTTTTGAAGTTGCTGAATTGCCCAACACTGCTGGGAACATGCTAGACATTCACAAAATGAAAGCTTCTACTACTACTACTATTCTTACTCATATTATTAAACCATAAGAAAAGGGAGAGCAGTATGAAAATATAGACCATTGTTTCCTACATTACTCATGTAATATGGCTGCGAGTAGGATGGTGTTTGTTGAGGGGATGATTTGGCGTGTTGGGAGGTGCAGTGGAAAAGTAGCCTAGCAGATGCTCTTGGTCCTCACTTTGATCGCCCAACTGCTTTGAGTGTTTCTGCTAATGCTGTCTAGCTGCCCCCTTTTCCATAGTATTGCCCTCAGCTAGGGGAGCTGTCTTGCTCAGGTGATTTTTACTCATTCCGTCCTGCAGCCAATGAATGACAGATAAAGGGATGCAAAAGGCCAGGCCCCTTGCCTCAAAGCAACACCATCTATGTGGTACAATTTGTGTTCTAGAGTACCATTGGGAGCGGAGTCCCGCAACCTGCTTACTCCCCCCCACCATTCTGCTCTACTCACTCCCCTTCTGATAAAACTTCCACAAGAGTAATTTATAAAAGAATCCCTGTCCCAGCCTTTCAATTCCTTTCTACTTCTATGGACTCCAACCCAAGACAGGTATTTTGGACTAGATTGCATGCTTGGCTTAGAATTTCAAGTGCTATCCTTTGGGTACTAGGAAGCCTAATGCATTTTAAAAAGATCACTCTAGTAAAGCATGGCATGGAAAGTGGCTAGAGGCCTCAAATGGGACCTTTTACATGATTAAGTAAGGAATAATAAATACCTCAATCATGTATCATTGAATAGGGTAGGGGACATGAGATATAATCGTCCTTTGTAGGGGTTGGGAAGAACCGAGAAATTCTAGATAATTGAATGTGGGGAGAAGGAATCAAAGAAGTTTCTAGATTGGATGACTAGACAAATGGTTAATCAATAATTATATCAAATAGTTTACATCAAAGAGCTATATCAATTACTTTCAAGTAGTTGAAAAAAACAGGACTTATAGAGGTATTTTTGGAGAAAATGAGTTCAGTTTTGGCTTTGTTGAATTTGAGGTACCTTATGGAATGTCAGATGGAAATGTTCAGTTGTAGGAAATATTTGCAGTATGGAAGGTAGGGCCATGTCAACAATATGGAGTTGAGAGTTTACACTATAAGAATATATAGGGCCCAAGACAAAACACTGGGAACTCCATTTTTATCATTTAGAACGCTTTCAGCTGCAAGTACCAAAGAAAATCTTACTCACGCTCAAAACCTGAGCGTGACGGGAATTTATTGGTTTATGTATCAGAAAATCCAGTGGTAGGGTGGGGTTCAGGGTGGTGTGATCAGGGTTCTGGCTCTGTTTTTCTGAAATTATTGTTGTTCCATCACCTTCATGAGTCAGCTTTGTTCTGAGCCTTGCTTTCCTCATGGAGGCAAAGTGATGCCAGTAATTCCGGGAGTCCATCAGCAAATTGCATATTCAAGGTGGAAAGAGAGAATTTAATTTGCATTTCTGAATTCCTGGCAGAAGTCCTAAGCTTTGAACTGCTTGATCAGTTTTGGGGGTGGGCACTGTTACAAAGGGGTTTACTAATTGGCTAGAGTGTGTCCCTGGAGATGGGGTAGGGCTAGGCACTCAAAGAGCATGACCGCTATACTAGGAGGAGGCGTGGAGTGGATGTTTGAGAGAAAAGTGCAAAATTCACATAAGGGACCGACAGAAAAAGAGCCAGTGAAACTGGAAAATGGTGAGAGAGATGAGAGGAGAGCCGTGGAGAGTACCTCAGCCCAGGGTGAAAAGAGTTTTGAAGAGTTTTGACTAAAATAGTGTCAATTCAAATAGCCACTGGATTTGATAGGAGGTCATTGGTACTCTGAGAGCAGTGTCTGTAGCCTGGAGGGGTAGAAGTCAGACTGTTGTGTGGCTGCTAAGCAATGAGTGATATGGAAGCAGGGAGTACGTACTTTTTTTTAAAAAAAGAAATTAAGTGTTAAATAGAAGGTGGTAGTTTAAGAAAGAACTGGATTAAGGGAGGCTAAAAAATAAATTAAAAAAATGATGATGGGAGGGTTTTTACCTATGTTTGCTGGATGAGGGGAATGAATTTAGAATTTGAGTCAGATGGCTTTGGTTTGCTCTCTGGCTCTAAAGACAGCTTGTATGGCCCTGGACAAGTCACTCAATGTTTTATCAGCCTCTGAGGAGTCATAGTTATAATAAACATTTCATAGTCATTCTGTAACGGTCAAGCAAGATAATGTATAAAAGAGGTTTGTCAACTACACTGTTATACAAATATTAGTTGGTAGTAAGCACATTGTTTATATAAACGCTATCTTCTCATAAAAGAATGTAAAGTATTATACAACTGACTATTAGTATGTAGAGCTGAAAGGTATGAAAGACAGGAGGGAGGGGGCTGGGAGAGAGAAAAGAATATGAGTGGATGAATGAATGAATGAATAAAACATAGTCCTAGTTCAGAAGCAGTCATTCCTCTTAGAATGGCCTGCTCAACTGCAAAATGAAAAGTTCTTAGATTTTATATAATTTTTCTGAGCAGTGTTTTGTGTGGCCCTAGAGGAGGGCCCCGTGTTGATTTGCGTATATACAGTTTCAGTTCCTTTTGGAATGAGAAGGAACACTACGGAATGTGTATTGTTTTGGTTATCGAGATGTCTTTTATTTCATGTTGTGAAGTTTAGTGATAATAATAATAAATGTTTAACAGCAGGTGCTGTCAGTTTATATGTCACTAGTGTATGATTGATTTTAGCTTTGGCCCCAAAGCCAATGCTTTTAGCCACATTCTAATCTAAATCTAAAATTCTTGGATCATACGTTCGTATTACTTATTCAAGTTGGTAGACCTTCTACAGTCATTATATACAATTTTATACCTGTACATTTCTGTTTCTTAGGTTGAACAGTGTCACTTTCTATGTTTAATTTGAAGCAGTCTGATACTTTGAAGTATAATAGGGAGAATAACAGTTAACTCCCTTGGAAGGTGATGGTGAAGAAAGCATCAAGTGAATGGGTACTTCAACGTAACACAGTTGTTGAAAAACTGTTGCGATTTAGTTTTGAGTAAATTAAGAAAGGTAGTAATTTTCCTTAACTATGACTCAGATTCCATGCTGGTTTCCTTCGTGGGGATGGCACTGTACACAGGCTACGTCTTCATGCCTCAGCACATCATGGCGATATTGCACTACTTTGAAATTGTACAGTGAGAAAGATGTGACCAGGATCGGGAGGTTCCTCAGGGAAGAACCAACCTCAGAATTTGGAATGGGACTTCATCAGATGTCATAAGAACCTCTACTGGATGTCAACATAACCAACCCTATGAATATAAAGACTAAAATTCATGAGTAGAACAGGAAAATGATCCTGACTCATGTGTTGTGTTCTTTATTTTTAATTTTAAAAGAAGCTCTTGTATAGTAGTTTTTGTCTATTTTAACATTGTAGTCATTTGTACTTTGATATCAGTATTTTCTTAACCTTTGTGACTGTTTAAATATTATCCAGCGAAAGCTTTTCTTAATGTAATTTTGAGTACATTTTAATTGCCTTCTATTTCTAAAACCCAAAGTCATTAGTTGGGCTTTAGTGTTCTTGCTATTGTATGGCATATACATCTGCCTGGATATATTTCTACTCTTGACCAAAGTTTTGTAAGAACTGGGGCAAGGGGCTGGGGAGGGGAGGATATTTTACTGAGAACTATTTACAAAAGACTTATCTGTAAGTTTGAACTCAGGAGTACAGTTTTAGCTATCTAGACTCTTTAACAGCTCTGCTTTAAAACTATTAGTGTTTCTTAACAAGGAAAAAGGAAGATCTTGCTAAAGTTAAAAATAAGGAACATTTCACTTTTTAAATATTTAATTCTTTTTTATATTTATCAAGATGTTTATTACAGCATGTTTATCAAAACAACAAATAAAGGACTATAATTTCATTAACTGTTTCCCAAAATAGGGTAATAGGGTAATGATCAAGGGAAATATGACCTTTTACTTAATGAAATATTATGAAATCATGGCAATGATGCTTTAGAAGACAGTGGTACCATGGAAAGTCTGAAGTTGTATTCATGACATGATAGTTACATTCTAAATATTGAATTCTTATGTGGACTCATTTCCAGAAAACTTTGGTGATGATTCTTGTGATAAAAGGTGGTTAACTAGCATTATTGTGTAATGCTTATATACCGTAGAGTTTTTAATAGAAAGTAAATCAGTTTCCCCTGAGGACCATTATTAACAATGTACTTCCTTATGTTTAGTTTCATGATTGTAATGGTTGCTGCAGATGCATTTGCACATTGCAGTAGGATATGAAGAGATGAATTGTTAAAAACCATAGCAAAAAGAAATGTAAACTTGGTTAAAATGCTTTCACCCTTTGTATTTTTTTT